CGTCAATTTCCAAAATGGCGATGGGCCTCCAGAATCACACGTATGAAGCCAAACCACGGTTCACAACCATGCACAATGTATGACATCTAGATGCTCGACCAACCATAAAAACTTCACGTGTGAACCCACACCCTATGCATCAGAAACCATTATGTTGCTTCCACTCTCGTGGGAGCCGGTCGGACGTCGGACCCGGTCCCCCACAACTGGGGCTGGCCTGATAAATAGTAAATACAATAAGTATTTACATTCCTACCTGTATAGCTGCCACCATGAGATTGCTGAGTGCTGAGGTCAACTCGGCCATTCTGATCAGCCACAAAATGGCCAAGTGATTGAAAAACCTTATCTCGTTCCCGCAGGATTGATCCAACGCTGACCGCGCTGTTGGGTGGCAAACCGCTGGCTACAACGGCTACAATGTCGTCTACGAAACTGGACTGTGGATTGACTGTAATGCTGGGAAGCATGGTCGCACATTGACGTTGCTGCAGTACTCTTGGCACAGTCATTAATGTAGCGATATTCCGTTTGATCAAACAGCTCATATTCTGTTGTGAAGATTTTGCATCGGACTTACGCATGGACTAAGCGAAGTTGTCATTATTCTTTTCAAGAAGCCGGTTTGGGCAAGTGCCCATGGTTGACTGACGTTCGATTAGCTTCCCTGAATACACCAGTTTTATACCAAGGGAAGCCTCGAAATGACGCTAATCGATCGCTGCAGTGAATTCCCCAAGGCATTCTGGGAAAAAGGTCAAGTCCCTGCGGCCGCCACGTCCATCCCATGCATCATGCATGCTCATGCAAGAACAGTCAATCTGTGACGTCATTACACGCGAGCAGCCTCCAGAGACCCGCTCGCCCGCGCCAGCCGGGGTCGTGGGTCCAGTCCACTAATTCAAGCCCCATTGAAAACAGTGTAAAGTCTGCACCCTCGTGGTGGCTCACACCAGAGCATGCAAGCACGAAGATCACGTGATGGCTAAACGAACGCTCTCGTGTAAGTTTGACTTACACGTATAAGCTGGTACCCGGCGGCCGGTCTGAATTAAGCTGAGTCAGTTGCGTCTTTTAGGGTGCAGACCACTAATTCAAGTGAGAATTTCTGACCAGCTCATTAGCATTAAAAGTGCCCCCTTCCACAGTATCTTTTGAAAAAAGAGATTGTTTGGCCCCCAAAATGGTGAGATTGTGTAAATCGTCGCCAGGATCAACTCCCTGGGTCTTTGAGCTT